CATGGACCTGTCTGCCATGGCATTTCCAGTGTTGCTAGGGTGACAGTTTGGGACCTGGCAACCCTAACACCCTGAGCCATATGTCCTCATTAGGTCAGCTGACAAGTCACAGAGAGCAGTGACGACATTGAGAAGAGGAACAAAGAGGTCCAGGGACCCTCCAGGTCCACCTTGGAGGTCCAGACATGTTTAGTTTTAAGTAGACAGCAAGGGGAATGGGTAGCCGGGCAGTCCAGGTCAGCGTGTGGTCTAGCCCGACCCTGACCCATCCCTGTCTCAAGTTCCTCCCGTAGGCTGTTCCGATGAGTACTTAGAACTGTGAGGTCTCTTCCCAGGAAAGAAGCTCCCCTCTGGCTGGCACCACGGTCCCAGTCTTTTTCTTCTCCCAGCATGAGCTTTCCGGGGAAATTCTAGGTCTTCGGTTGAGACCATTGTTTCAACAGCTGATGAAGGGGGATAAAATATTCACAGCTGCTCAGCCCCTTGCATTAGTCCAGGCTAGCCTCTGCCCAGGCTCTCTCTGTTTATGGGTTTCTCCACCTCTCCCCAGTTCCAACACGACTAGAATCACACCCACCCCTTTCGTCATGTAAATGGAGAACAAACAATCCAGAGACTTTTCTCCACATCCGCTCGGTTCTCAGGAAAATACGACCACAGGGCCCTTCCCCCTCATCAAGGGAAGAAACCCAGAGCCCCAGGGTGAGGGAGCAGAGGCCGAAGAAGTGATGATATCCCACATGTGGCCACCTACATCTGTCCCTCAGTTCGTATGGGACTGGAAGGGGTATGGGTGCTGGGATCTATCCCTGGTTTCTGGTCATCTTCCAGGCAGGCTCATAGGGCACCGCCTCTTTGCCATCTCTGGACATGGTGTCCTGAGAAGATGCTGGACAGAACCATCCCAAATCACTGACAGAAAGGTTCCCGGAAAGCCAGTGGCCTTGAGTGTTAGCTTGGAGATAATGCCCATCCCATGGTCCCTGGCCCAGGGTTCCAGGGAGTTTTGCTGGTTCCCAAGACTCAGAGGATGAAATGAAGGATAAATCTCAAAGGTTCCCCACTTCAGGGAGCCTACTACACACCATTGACTCTAACCCAGACCCCACCCTAAACAACCCTTTTCACTGGCACACTTTGGGGGGGGGGGTGTCATTCCTCATTCATTGCCGTCCTCTGAGGAGCCAGTGTGGTTACTCAGCAAACATTTATGCACTAGGTCTTCTGCTGGATCTGGAATGGGCACTAGGGAGCATGGATAAACCCACTGGTGTTATTCCTACCCTGGAGTGAGTAGCTAACAGCCTGGGACCCAGAGTGAAGGAATGTCCAGATCCCAAAAGATATGTCATTGGAGCCTCTGGAAGGGTCCCAGAACAGCTGAGGCCCATTCTGCACCCCCTACTCCTGCTGTCTCTCCTGGTGGCTGTCTGAGGGGTCGAAGTTTCTCCTGAGTAACTTTACTAACTTCCTAGTGAATGTTTGGTTTGCAGACAGGAGACCTGACAAGTTATTCGTCGCAGAGCAAGGACGCCGAGTTCCAGGCGGTCCGTGTAAATGCCTGCTCAGTTACTGATTGACAGGCCTTTCTGGGGGAGCAAACACAGAGAGAATTCACCACGCCCCTGGAAAGGGCCACATTAGCTCACTGCTCTGCGTCTCCAGGTGTCTCGTGCCAGCCTTCTTCACTTACCCAGCTGCTGTGACCATGTGACTGTGTGTATCCAGCGGTGTATTAACTAACCACCCTGGGTTCGGAAGAGAATTCTCTTCAGCTTCAACTTCCCCTTCTGAGTCACCACCCCTGGACTTTTAGACCACAACTCGGAATTTTTGTCTCCTGTTTTGTTTCCCCAAAGCCAAATCTGGAGACAGACGAGGACCTTTCCAAGGTCACACAGCAGACTCAGGGAGGAGGTGGCTAGGAAGGCCAGTTTCAGTTTCCAGAGTGTGGTCTGCAGCCTGCAGGGCCTCAGCAGCTGTTCTGGGCCACCAACTGCTGCCCTGGCTGGGAACTCCCCATCCTCCCCATCACCCTTCTGCCTGGCCCACCTGGCCATTCCTCCCAGCACCACCAAAGCTTCTTCCAGGAAGCAGCAGTGAGAAGTTCTCAAAACAGAAAACCAGGTCTGGAGATGTAGAGACCGGCAATGGCACTGTGAAATTAATGGAGGGTGAGACCCAGGGTCCCATTGCGCAGCCCAGCAGGCTTGGAGAAAGAAACTTGCCAAATGGGGCCTGAGCGGTGCTGGCCCCTGGGCCTCCCAGATGTGAGGCCCATGACAACTGGGGAGTCTCCACCCTAGCCCACGCCCTATTGCCATCTCCCTTGTCCCTCCAGTGTCTGCCTGAAACCCTAGGCAGTAAAGTTCCAAATTTTAAGTAGAATCTTTTCCCTCAGTCCCTCAGCTATTGAACTGCAATAACACAAAATGTTCCTAACCTGGGATTCCTTGTGTATCCTGAGACTGGGAGGGGGCAGGAGTCCCCAGACTCTTCTAAGGCTGGGCACTTGGACAGCTCCACAGTTCTCAGATGTAGCTCATGTCTCAGTGATGCTCTCCTAACACACCTGACTGTGCCTGTTATGTCCCCCGACTCTGGGGCCCAAGTTGATCCATCTTCCAGATTGGAACAGCAGAGGTAAAAGGCCATGGCATTCACCAACTTGGGCAGGTATGAAGTCTCTCGGTGAGGGTTGGGTTACCACCACCCAACTGCAGTTCCGAGCTTGACCACTTGGGGTGCACCTCTGCAGGGAGAAGATTCACTGCCCCAGCGACGTGCTCCATTCCTGAGCAAGGTTTTGAGGGGAGGCGACTCAGTCCTCCCTTTGCCGTAGGACCCACCTCTGTCCAAGGAGCCCCTCATTTTGGTGTGGGTAGGGCCATCAGAGCTACTTGAGGCTAGTCTGTTGGGGCACCCTCTTCCTTACTGAACTGGGAGAGCCCAGAACTACTGGGGTGTGGTGGAGGTGATCACCCAATCAGCCAAAGCTTTTAGAAAAACTAGAGGTCCGTGCGAAGAGTCCTCACACTTCAGATGAACCAGCATCAGTCCTGGCTTCGGATAGGGAAGCCAAGTCTAGACAGGACAGGGCCCCACCCAAACTACCCTTCCCAAGATGGGCAAGTTGCCCTTACCCTGGGTGTCCCATATTTGAGTGTTAGTGAGTTTGGAAAGGGGCGTCTGGAGATGGGGATAGGATCATGCTATAACTCAAGCTGTGCGGTCTGAAGCCTCGTGGAAAAGCGTCCAGAGCTTTCCCAGGAAATCAGGCGCAGGACGGCGATTCAGGAATCGCAATTTTAGGTGACTCTGAGTAGGTCATGTGCTCCCTCTGGTGGTAGGAGGAGAAATTACACCCTAAGGCAGCTAGGTCTCCACGCTATATTTTGGTGAGGCAAGAATCACTTTCAAGACTCGGTTTGTATTCAGTAATTTAGTACCGTTCTGCTGTGTGGAAAGCCTCCCAGTGAAGGAAGGACAAGTTCAGTAACTCTCAGTGTGCGACCTTCCTGGAGTGTAAAGGGAGATGTCCTGGTCCAGGAGCGGGTCACAGAATCAGAATGTCCCCTCATGTCCTCAGCCCTGGGCTGGCTCATTGAGCATCAGCCTGGGTGGGTGAAGGTGGCAAAGGGCATGGGGACAGAAAAACAGGCTCGCAGCTAATCTCATGCTTGTGTCCAGCTCTCCATGCTCAAAGATAACATACAGTTAGGCCCAGGTCAGGCTAAGTCCCCAAGGTCCACCTCCAGTGCGCCAGTCTGGTCACTTAGACAACAGAGCAGGAGACATGGTGGCAGGCTAAGGGAAGAGAAGTGACTCGCCCTAGACCATTGAAGTGACGGGCTGGAGAATAGAACATTCTAGAAATAAGACTCCTTTCCAGGCCTCCCACCTCTCTCTAGTGAACCACAGACCTCTTCCGGTCAGCCTTGGCCCTGAATCCAGAACCCCCCCCCTCCAAGAGCTTGGCTCCTCCCCATCCCACCCCAGGCCAGACCTGCCCCAGCTCTGCTCAGTCCTCCCATCTCGAGAGGGAGCTCAAGCATAGCGGACCCGAGTTCTGCCTGAGGGTGTGAGGTCCCATTTTGTCAGTGGCCTGATACTGAGGCTAGTAGCCAGACTTTACCTACTGGCCTCAACTGGAGCCTGACCTTCCACCCCAGGCTTCTCTGTCTCTTAGCTCTCATAGCAAAAGGCAGACAGGGTGTCACCTTGTCTAGACAAGTCACTGCCTTTCTGGGGGTGGGGGAGGCTGCTCAGTTTCCCCTTCGATACAATGGAAATGGTCTCAAAAGACTGTCCGCCCCTGAGGGTGGGCGAGTGGGTGGGCTTCAGAGCCTAGGGGCAATGGGTTAGGGCAGAAGGTTTAAGAACCGAGTGAAATGGCCTGTCCACCCTGACAGTATGGTCCACCAAACACAGCCTGTTCCTTTCAAATACTGTCACCCGGAGTTCTGCTCAGATACGCTGAGATGCAGATAAGGAAACTAGTCACCAGATGGTGCCAGCATCCTGCCAGCCCTCCAGTCTCCTTGGAGATTTCATGGGAATGGAGGAAGGGGGAGTTGGACCCCTTTGGATGGATGGGGCAGGAGGAAGCAAGTAACAGTGAACTCACTCTCATTGCTCACTCCTGGCCCAGGGATGAGTCCAGCTGGAGTTCCTTGAGTCCCACCCACTCAAGGAGGGCGGCTTGGCGGTTGTGCTGGGGACATGCACCAATCCCCAGCATCAGGCCTTTCAGACTCACCCACCCTGAACAGCACCACACTTTAGGAAAACCTATGAACATAGCCATAGGCAAGCTACCTCTTATGTGGTCAAAAGCACCCAAGAAGCAAGTTTCCCATGGGAGCACCCAGGCTTCAACAGCATCCAGCAGGACTCAACAGACGCAGTCACCTTCAGCTTGACACCTTCAGGCCATGCAGAAGTCAAGCAGAGGTCTCTGTTCCCAGCTATACAGGGGCAAATGATGAAGCGCCCATAGATAACCATACCAGGCCTACTTTCATTGTCAGGTACTTGCCAGAATGATTCATTGGAAACCAGTGAGACGGGGCTGCACATGTACCCCAACTTGGAACAGGAAGTGGGATGTGAGAGGGATTGGGGAGGGGAGGGGAGGAAGGAAGTTAAGGGTCAAGAGGCATGAGTGGATGACCATGAGGGGGTCATAGCGAGCCTGGCACATCCTTCAGCCTGTGTGCTGGCCGTGACAGGGCAGTGGAGTACAGCTGGGGAAGATGGGCATCCTTAGCGCCCATACACTGGTGGGCACTGGTGGCTCTGGAAAGACAAAGGCAGGGTTTGAGCTGGGAGGGAGGCCTCTGGGGATGGCAGCTTTGTCTCTGTCCCTCTTACTATTCCCAGCAATCCCCCTGCAGCATCCCTACTCCACACATCCCACTTCAGACACTCAATGTTCACTTTAACATTCAGGGGGACAGCCCACCCGACCTCTCTGCTTGCTGCCTCTCATTCACACTCATTCTCTACCCAAACCCTCACCACTTGAAGGGGACACACCTGCTGTCACAGCTCATCTTCATTGACCTGCCTGGGATGGGGAAGAGTAAAGAAAGGATGAAGGAAAAGGGAGGGGAAACAGCATCCCCCCCCCCAGATTGTGGATCCCCGCCTCCTCGTTGGGGAAAGCTTCCTGCTCTCCTCTTGCCCCACCCACCTTGTTAGTTTCCCCGACAGCACTCACCTGTGCCTCTTATTGCCCCCACAGCGGAATCTTTTGCCTTGAAAAGAGATGGTAAAGTTTGTTGTCATTTTCCAAGAAGACCCTGGAAGACTCAGCTCTGCTAGGCTTGCCTCCCTCCAGCATCATCACAGTGTCTCTGTTTCTATAGAGCTGGAGCACCAAGCAATTAGTCAATCAACAACCCTTCACTGCACCAGAACTGCGATGGACTGTGAACATGTTTGGAAGTGGCAGCTGGGACCAGAGTTCATGACGCCACCAGCACAATGCCGGGCACAAGAGGGCAGCTGCTTGGTACACGCTTCGAGGAGAACAGGCCACATCCAAAGTTCAAATCCCTGCCTAGACTCCTAACTTCCAAGAAATGCACACCCCCTAAGACAGATCCAGGAGCCCAGCTTTCAGGTAGAGTGGCAGAGTGTGGGGTCACTCCAGAACACAGAGGCCTATTTGTTTCATCAAGGGTCTCCCTGTTTGCGATTCTGGTATTTTTCTTTTGGTTGCAACAATAGAAAGCAACCAGCATTTACTAAGCACTTGCTTTTGTGCTGGCCAGGGCTGAAGACATACAGGACATTTTTCTTCCCATAGAGCCCTCCGTGCTTGCCTCGGACCCTCTTATTATAACTTCCTCACCCCTATAGCTGCCTTAGGATGCTAGCTCCAATCTTACAAGACGGATGGGATTTTCCCCATTTAACAGGGAGAAAATGGAGCTTCTCGCATCCCCAGAGTTAGGGTAAGTCAGTGGTAGGTCCCAGGGCCTGGATTCCAGTCCTGTTGATTTCTAGCAACATGGGGGAGGGTGGAGGTCAGATACACCCAGGGAGGGGAGCTGCCACAAGTCTCTCCCCATGAGCCTCATTGTCCATCTCAAACGCTGACAATGGGGGCAGGGGTACTGTCTCTCAGTGTGTTGAGATTACCTAATGGCTAGGGTGGCTAGGGTGTGGCCATTCCAGAAACTGTCCAGCTGGGGTTTGGGTCGGCCCTGCCTGCTCCCTTGACCTCCTCTGCCCAAGGGTTGCCCAATCAGACTCCCCCCTCAGTTTCTCCTCCCAAGGCCACTAGGGGGCACCCTGGAGGAAGCGGGAGCCTGCTGTCCCCTGCGCTCCCCCTCCGGCTGGAGTGTGGGAGGGAAATTGGTAAGTGTCCTTACTGTATGACTTTAGTAAATGCACCACCAGTCTCCACTTACTGAGGAGGATAAGGAGCCCCACGACGAAGGCCAGGCCCGCGAAGATCAGGCCCCCTTTGCGGACAGTCTCGTAGTCTTGAAAGAGAGGAGACATGCGCAGTTGTGTGAGCGCGGACTCTACCAGACCTCCCAAGTTCACCCACCGGCAACCCCATACTGTTGAGAGCAGATAGCAAGGACCCAGGGATGGGGATCAGCTGATGGGGTAAGCAGGGAAGGACTGGCTTACCATAGTGGAATGGATCCTCTGCCCCCTTGGCGCTGCTACCTGAGGAGAAAGTTGGGGGGCGGGATGAAAAAGACATGACAACCAGAAAGCAGTGGGAACGCTGGAATTCTCAAGTAAGACCCTAAGGGCCCAGGTGGGCAAGGGAAAGCCGGGTAAGAGTGGCCTGAACATCCACCCTAAGGCTGCCTCACCCAGACATCTGGGATCAGAGGCAGGGCATCTGTTGTGGAGATCTGTGTGGGCCGGAGGCACACAGTCCCAGCAGGGTGTGGTCCTCCCCAGCTCCCTGCTCTGTATCACGAGGACAGGCCAAAGAGCTGGGTTCCCAGGAGGCCCCTAAGTGGCCTCTGCCGATAGAATCCCACTTCCTGAAGGAGCAGTATCTGTGAATGGAATGAGTGAGAAAAACAGAGTCTCTATGATCAGCGAACAGGAGGAAGGAACCATGAGTCCATGCTGGGGTAAGGACCCTGGAAATGGAAGGCAGAACAGGGACTTGAATGTACGTCATCATCCGCAGGGCAAACTTAATAAGAGCTAACTTTGTATTATCAGCCCCAACAAACAGACCCTTGGCTCAGACCCCCTGTGGGGTGCTATTGTTATTTCTCTCCTCCACAAAGGACTGAAGCCTAGAGGGGGTCAGTGAGCCACACAGCAAGTAAGGGGCAGAGCTGGGATTTGATCTCCCGCTAAGGGTCACCAAGTCTAAGTGTTAGGTTTCCTCTCAAGCGACAGGTCGGAAGTCTTGTCCGCAGGCTGTGTAGCCCTGGCCCTGCCTCCCGTGGCCCCCTTCATTCTGGTGGAAGCTAATATTCTGCTGGCCGCCCCCTGAGCTCAGAGCTCTCACCCTGGGATAGAGGGTGGGACACTACGGGGCTGCAGTCACCTCCCCCGTGCCAGCCGCACTCTGCTGCCCTGCTGTAGACCCTCTTGGCCCTAGGGGGTCGAGGCCCTTTCCAAAGGAATGAACAAGTTAGCAGTTCCCAGGCAACTTTGAACTGTGTCCCTGTCGTGGTCACGGATAACGCCTGGTGAGTTCAGCTGTTTCCAGTGACTGGGGATGGGGCAGGGGAGGGGTCAGTTCCTCACAAATCTTGGGTATGGGTTGTTCAGAAAGGTCAGAATTTAAGAAGAAGCCTCAGGGACCCAGGCTCTGCCGGCTTCAGTGACAGTCAAGGTCACGGTGTGTGTGGGGGGGGGCATTGCTAGTAACCAGATCAGAGCTAGGACTCCCCTTCCCTTTTAGAACCATTTGATGAGCCCCTCCTCCACCCAGAACCAGAACCCTCAAGATATGTGGGTCAGTAGGGGTCCTATAGGACTCCAAGCCAGAGTCTGTGGATCCCAAAACTCAGGACTTTTCCTGTGACCCTAAGCCAGTTGGGGAAGGCTGGCCAGAAGGGCCGCTCTTCCCACTCCCAACCCTGGCAGTCCCTGCCCACTGTTCTTAGTTCTCTATCCAATGCTAGAAAGTCACACTAGGCAGGGTGTGGGAGGCTGAGACAGGAGGATTATAGTGAATTTTAGGAATTTTCTGGACTATACAGTGAATTCCAGGCCAACCTGTGTTACAGAATAAGATTCTGTCTCAAAAACAAAGTCACACACTCACACATATACACGCACACTCACACACATCCACACGCAACTCACATACACGTGTACATACACTCACATACACGTGTACACACACACATGCACATGCACACACTCACATACATGTGCACACACACACATAGACATGCAAACACTCACACACATACACATGCACACACTCACATACACACATACACATGCACTTACACACTCACATACATGTGTACACACACGCATACTCATGCACTCATATATACGTGCACAGCACACAATACACATGTACACACACTCACATACATGTGTACAAGCACACACATACACACGCACTGGCACACTCATACATGTACACACACACGCACACACATGCACATGCATACACTTATACACTCACAATCATGTGCACACGCACACTTACACTCATATACATGTGCACACTCACACACACTTCTGCTGATCCAACTTCTGTTATTCTGCTTCTTTTCTGTGGGGGTGGAAAAGTTAGGGTCTTTCCCCAAATGCTAATTTTCTTAGAGAGCCACCGCTGGAAACCCGGAGGCAAGGGAGCAGGAGAAGGAAGGGGGGTTCGGCTGCCCACCAAAGGCAGTCCCAGAGGGAAAGGGGGTTTAGCTGCCCACTGAAGGTAATCCCAGAGGGAAAGGGGGTTTAGCTGCCCACTGAAGGCAATTTCAGAGTGAACGGGGGTTCAGCTGCCCACTGAAGGCAATTTCAGAGTGAACGGGGGTTCAGCTGCCCACCGAAGGCAGTCCCAGAGGGAAAGGGGGTTTAGCTGCCCACCGAAGGTAATCCAGAGGAAAAGGGGTTCACCTGCCCACCAAAGGCAGTACCAACAAGTCCTGCCAGCCTCGCCAGGCACTACACTCACCATCACCAGTCGACAGCCCTGTCATTTTTCCAACCACCAGGGCTTCTCCACAGTCTTCCTGAAGCCTCTACTTCGGGGACAGTGTCTGCCGTGGGGTGGCCAGGACAGCGGTGGGGGACATTAAATATTAACCGTGTCAGGTAATATTTACCCTGGTCACAAGAAAAGCTGAGTATGCTCAGAGGGGCTCCCGCTGAGCCAGGCAAGGGGGAGGTGTTGGGGGGGGGGGAAGACAGAGACAGGGAGGGGCTGACTGCCGTCTCCAGCCCCTCCCAAAGGAAATTTCCAGAGAGCAGGGCCCGGATGGGCAGCAGCGGTATTCTTCCATCAGCTGGCGAATCCGAAGCCGCAGCCGGGCTGAGGAAGTGGAAGTTTCAGGATGCGCTCATTGTGAATGGCACATGGGGGTGGGGTGGGGTACTTTGTCAAGTCGGGGACCTGTGAGTCCCTTAGCCCGCAGAGCTTCCTGCCAGTTCCTGTGGATAGCACCATGACAGCTAACATTCTCATGGGGTTCTCATGTTTCCCTGAGGGGTTCCTAAAGAGCCTGTCCTGTCTCCCCTCTCACCAAAGCCCGACCTTGGGTCCATGGCAGGGTGAGCCACCATGGAACAGCTCTCTCTGACAGCCAGTCCTGACTTCTCTCATTTATTCCAATCCCAGCGCCTCTCACACACACCTCAGTCTGAAATGCTCGGCCATCCCTGACTAATGTCTTATCCTAATGCCGGGCACTCCCTCACGTGGCTGTCCACCATGCACTTAAGGCTCTTTCAGGGCCGGGCCCAGGCTTGTTCTTATGGCTTAGGAAACATTTCCTATCTGGCTTCTCCCTTTCCGATTAGCTCCCTACTTGCCATGAGTGTCTGAAACACAGAGAAGTTAGGGGCCTTTGTGAAGGTCACACAGCCAGTGAGAGTTGAAGAGAATGATTGTTGCTCGTTCAGATTCAGGGTACAGATGCTCCGCCTGTACTTACCAGGCTGTTCCCCACTTTATTGTGACTGTCCCCCTGGGAACTGTGGTGTGGGTTTTCGTCTATGGGTTCTACACAGTAGAATAGGCCTTCAACAGGCTAATTAATGTCCATCACAGGCAAATGATATATAGAGAGATACAAAGATGGTAGATGCATAAATACCCAATAATATATACATATGTATATATACATATACATACATATGTGCATGCATACAGGATACATAGGTGATAGATGATAGTTAGATAGAGATAGATAGATAGATAGATAGATAGATAGATAGATAGACAGAGAGACAGACAAACAGATTTCTACTTCCCTGGTATAATTCAGTCCTTCTGAAGGGAAGGGCTCCATCTGTGAGTCCCCCTCCACCAATGCCAGGGCACTGATAGTTCTGTGCACACCCTGGCTCCATCACTTGCTGGGCATTTGACCTCTGCCAATTTGTTTCCCGCCCCACGCCTGTCTCTTCATCTACACAGTGGGCAGGGCACAGCACTCAGGGAAGTGTGTGGAGTCTGAGGCAGGCATATCAGAATATAGCCTAGGACAGAGGGTACCACTGCTCCTGCGTTACTTGGAAAGTGACAGACATTAGCCTTTTGTTTAATAGTACCCTCAGAAAGCCAGTCACTCTCTGCTAAGTGGATGAGAGGAGAGAGTGCATCCCTGGCTTTGGAGCACTTATGCAGCTCTCGCGAGCTTTCAGAGCCCTGCAACAGGCATTCAGGAAAGCAGACAGAAGCCTGCCCTGTGAGGGGCTGGCCCCACATGCTGGCTGTCAGCACGCACAATCCCCATCTAAATCTCTGCTATCTCTGTCTGACAGATGAACAAACTAAGGCTGAACACTGGCTTCCCCAACCATGCCTAGAGCGGCTTAGTGCCATAGCCCTCCAGAGACCAGAAAAAAAACAGATCAAGGGAAGGTGAGGCCCAAAAACCAGAAAGGGGAGAGCCAGAACTGGAGTGCCAGCTGGGTCCTAAGACAGCTGGTGAATCTGGGGACATTCTTCACACAATGCAGCAGCACCCACACCCCTTATATTACCTTGGTGACTATCTATCTTTGTAAGCCCCTATGAGTTCTCTCTGGAGTAAGAGATGAAAAATTGGTAGAAAGATACACATGACAGACAGAAAGAAGGAAGGAAGGAAGGAAGGAAGGGCAGATGGGCGGGCAGGCATGCTGGTAAACAGGTAGGCAAAGCCACGGGAAAGCAGGTTGACAACTACTTTGTATTCCAGGCACTGGGGAAGTAACCCCTCCATGACCACATGATTCAGTAAGGAAGAACAGGATTAACAAGCATCATCCCATTTTACTAGGATGCAGACATAACCTGCTAGGGAGCAGGCAGTTAGAAAGTACGGGGACTAAGATGTGACTCAGTCTGAAGCCAGATGGATGGACACACAGCTGAATGAGGAGGCTGCTGATTCGATTTCCCCAGCCTCTGGCTCAGAGGTACCCTGCACATCACAGCAAGCCCAGGACTCGGGGTTGAGGTGTCCTTTTTTTAGGACAGCCTGTCTTTTCCATTTTCTCCCACAATTATGAGGAGCCAGTAGGTACACTTGAAAGTGATTGGTGGTCCCCTGAATCCAAGTTGGAGAGGGCAAGGATGGGGGCAGGCTTGGGAGACTCACCCAGGTACCACCTGTCCATGGCAGGAGCTGCTGGAAGTGTCTGAGGTACACAGGAGCCAGGGAGTGCCTGTCTTTGCCTGGGGGCCTGGGTGGGAAGAGAGACAACTCTCTTTGTGCTGGATGACTGAGCTGGGACAGGAAGAATGAGGCAGAGGAGGGGTTGGTGGGGCAACTGTTACCCTGCACCTGCCTGCCTGGGCTGGTTGGAGCAAGGGACCCACGTGAGGGCAGGGGAAGAATCTCTGGACTTCACTGGTCTGAGTGTCCCAAAAGAAGGGGACACTCAGAGCAACAAAGTAAACTGCAGCTGCCTCCCTTCCCCCACAGTGAACTTGCTGCTGCAGTGTTCCTCAAAGGGCACTAGCCAGGACCAGAGTGTCACCTCTTCCCTCCCTCCCCTCTTGGGTTTCAGGCCCACAGCTGAAGGAGACACTCAGAGACAGGTGTGGGTCCCTAGTCTTCAGTCAGGAGATTTTATCCTCCCAGGCAGTGGGCCCCACTCTGATGTCTGCCCCCAAGCCCGTTCTGAAACCCGGAGCCCCTGAGAGCAGGCAGGAAGCTGCTCCAGGTGCACCGGCCAGAGATGAGCTGTGCCTGGGGCTACAGCTGGTTTAAAGGTGCTCCCATGGTGGCCTGTCTTTCCTCCTCACCTACACTTCCTCACTTAGCCCTGGTGACAACTGTGATGCACCTGTGGGGTCTCAGCAAGAGTTCCGGCACACAGTGAGGTCCTCTGAGGAGGACTGACTTTCTGTCAGGGGAGCAGCTGAAAGGCAGAATATCTTCTAGTCTCCAGGGCTGGGATGGCGCCATGAGCCAATAAAGGATTATAGGAGAGCCCTCAGTGGCCACCAGAGTCCTTGTGCCCTGGCCACTGTGACAGGCTTACAGCAAGGCCACTACAAGAAGTCTTTGTGGACTAAGATTGAACCTCAGGGTCTCCTCAAGACTACTGAGCTCATCCTGATTGGCCATTCCATTGGGATATCAGCAGAGCAGTGACGGTGTTAGGTCTGGTCACCTTGGTGACTGGCCTCTCTGTTCCTCAAAGCAGTACCCTGGGAGCTGGGGAAATGACACCCCCAGGGAGATGGAAGCTGACCTCCCATCCGAGTTCTCTGCGTAGGCTGAGGTCTGTCTTAGGGCTCTGAACTGGCAGCATTCCCGCCCCCAACCCCAGATACTTGTGAGATGAAGGGCAACTCCACCCAGTGACCTTGTCACATGTTCCCAAGTGAAAATTTTAACCTTCAGGTAGCCTGGAGCCCTGTGTGGAAATTCCCCAAACCAGGCACTGAGGAAGTTCAGGCATGTTACCTGAAGTTCAGTGGTCTCTGTAGACCTAGGCAGGATTCCCACTTCCCCCACAAGCAAACCATGAGCTCCCTCCCAACCTCAGGGTTGTGAAAGAGACATCCTCTTTCCTAATAGGCCCCCTGTGCCCCCACCCAGCCCTTCTCTCATAAAACCATCACTTTCCTGGCCAAGATCCTCTGAATACTGATTCTAAGCCTGGGTCCTTTTTGTGTCCCATCATTTTGTGAATTTATTATGTTCATTTGTTGATTGATTGATTGATTGATTGATTGCATGTGTGAGAGCTTGCCTGTGCTGTATGCATGTCTGGAGATCAGAAAACAATTAGTGGGACCCTGGGGTTGAACTTAGGGTATCAGGCTTTGTGGCAAGTGCTTTTACTGGTCCTCTTGATAGCCCCCTTTTTGTGTTCCTTCTTAATCTCATTCTAATGGCCTTTCTGTCTCCAACTTTCCTGCTCTTCTGTCCATTCCAACCACACTGTCCTCTTAATGGCTCTCTGACCTTCCAGGACTTTGCACAGATAGTTTTTGAGTACTCAGCCTCCAGGGTGTTCCCTCTATCCTCGGGTTTTTCTCATGGGTTTCACTTAGAGACCCTCCTAGGTACCCTTTCTAAACTTTCACACTAGCCAAGCCCAGAGAGGTGGCAGCATTTTGCCAGGGACTCAAGTAGCCTCCAAACTTGCCTAAGGCCACCTTCTTTCCAGTCTGTCACCTGAGTGCAGCAAGGAACTGGGCCCAGTTTGCTCTAGAGAGGCAGCTAGCACTTAGGACCCTTGCCCTCAGACTCCTCCAACACCCTATCCTGCCCCCCACCTGCCCCCCACCTACACACCCACCCACTCACACTCACACCCACCCCTCACACTCATACCTACCAACACACCCACATACACACACAAACACTCACACGCACACACTCACACACACATACCCCACTCATATCTACCCACACACCCACACACTCATACAACACACACTCACACACATACCGCATTCATACCTACTCACATCTCCCACACACCCCACTCATACCTACCCACACACCCATACACACACACACACACACACTCACCCACACATCCCGTACATTCCACACTCTCACTCACACCCCCGACACACACACCCCACCACCCACACCCACACCGACCCACACACCTGCTCCCAGTCCTGAAAGCCCAGCTAAGAGTTAAGAGTTGCTGAGGTGTGCTGAGTCTAAGCCCCTCCTCAGACAACTTCCATCCATCTCCCAGCCAGTCAAGATCATCAGGGTTTAGTTACTGCTGGGGACAAGGAACTCTCTCTGAAATATCTTAATCCCCTGCAAAGGGACCCCTTCTCCAACTCCCCTAGAGCAGCTGAAGGTGTATCTCTCCCATGTCTAAGCACACAGTCCCTTAAAGCCAGACCACCCCAGTGCAAATCCTTCTGTCTACTGACCTTGCCCTTCTGACCCAGTGAGTCATAGGAATATCTCCCTGTACCCTGCTATCCAAAATGCACGGTGACACCTACCTCAGAGTCTTGTTGAGGGAGGAGATCATTAAAGGATGTGCTTGGCTAAAGACGATAGTACCACTCTCTTCCCTAAGCTGGGCTGTTTTCCCAGGAGATAAGATTGCTCACCATATCCCTTTACATAGCTCAGGAGCCCCCTTGACTTCTACTGGAGGCTCCCTGACCATTGCCCCTGTCCCAGTGCTCCAGCTGGGAGCCCCACCAGCCATCACCACCACTGGCCCCAAGCTTCTTTTCTTCCCCCAGAAAAACACAAGCGCATGCCCTGGCCATCAGTGTCTCAACCTCCATTCTCCTTCCTGGACTCTTGCATGGTGCGATGGGGCCCAGTGGTCATGAAAACGCCACCGTCCTGCTTTTTAAAAGAACGGGGCAGGTCAAGAGCCTCTGCTTTCCCTTCTCTGTTGGGTTTCACCAGAGTGGAACCCCGGAGGAGCATCCAGCTCTGCCCTCCTGTGTCCTCTAAGACCCAGAGACCAAGGCAGTCTGCCCACAGGGACCTCAGTGGCTCTGCCTTGTTCCCCCAAGTCCTCCAGGCAGGTCTGTCTTAACTCACAGGGCAGTCAAGTGGACAGTCCCCACTGCATTTGTGGGTATGGAGGTCACAGGCAGAGGCACCTAGCTGATCTTTGTCTCCTGAATGCCAGCAAGAAGCATCAGAGTAGAGGTCCTCACCATAGCCTTCCCGAAATAGGACTCTGGCCCACGAGCCAGAACTTTGTGAGGTTTCCTGCCAGAATCCATAGCATTGCACCTGAGGCCCCGGCATTTTTTCCTCCACATGGTGTTGATTCGTAGCTCAGGGGAGCTTCAAAGGGGCGGAAACCGAAAGCCCCGACTCTGAGCTTAGGACCATTCTCCAAGGTACGGTCCCCATGGATACTGGGCAGGAAAGGTAGCCACTCCTTGTAGGCTGCATCTGTGCTAGCTAGAGGTCCCAAGCCCTAAAGAATGCCAGCTCCTGTCTCTGCTGTGACTGTAAATGCCAGGTAACTGGGGTCTTATAAGGCCAGGGCTTGGAGGAGGTGGGCCCCATAAGACGCAGCCCTTAAGTGTTGGCTTCAAGATGGCCCAAGAGGGGAGGCACAGCAGTTCTGGGAGCTGCCAAAGGGCAATGTTTGCTGAGAGTCAAGGTCACCACGTTATGGCAAGGGCAAACCCATTAGTCCAACCTCCTACACAGAGAACACCCTCGAGAGAAATGCATTATTGGCTTTCTTGGATGTGCTTCCTGTGGTTCCCTGTGGCCACTACCTTTGGAGACCCTTGGGGAAGCAAGCCATTCCTTTCCCTCTATGGCCTCTAGCGTCCTCAGGTGTGACTCCTGTTGCTTTTGTGTGGCCTGTGGCCATCCTGTCCCAGCCTGTGGGCGTACACAGACCACCACATCCACTCACTGTTTGTACCATCCCTCACTGAGATGGAATCCAGGTCTCCTCACCTGGCTTCATGGTTCTGGAGCATGCCAAAGATCTGCTTTGCTTTTTCTGACATCACAGTGAGTCAGGCTTTGGAGACACTATTTCACAAAGAATGGGAACTGCAGGTAATATGTGTACAAGTCAGGACTGGTACCCAGGTTTAGAGGGCAGACAGGGACCCTTGCTATCCGTGAGGAGGCAATCCTTACACAGCCAGTGTTGCTAGTACTGATAATATGACATCTTCATGTAGAAAGCTCAATGTGGTTTTATGTGTATTGTATCACTTTAAATCAAAGAAGTAACAGGAAAACATTGTGTGTGCATGTGTGTGTATATATATATAAAACACACATATATAACATATATATACACTGTACAGCACAGTACACACACTATTTTATACATACATATCGTGCTATATATGTATTTGCATACAAATACAAGTGCATTTACATATATCATACATATATAGTATGTAAATACATATATGTGTGTATAATATAGTGTATGTGCTGTACAGTTAGTATATAGTATATACACTGTATAGTATAGTATGTAGTATATATAGTGTATAATATAGTATATACACTGTATAGTATAGTGTATAGTATATACAGTGTAGACGCTGTATAATATATAGTATATAGCATATAGTGTACATTATAGTGTATGCACTGCATAGTGTATATAGTATCTATTATAGTGTATGCACTGTACAGTATAGTGTATAGTATATATAGTGTATTATATAGTGTATACACTGTACAGTATAGTGTATAGTATATATGGTATATAATATAATGTATACACTGTACAGTGTAGTATATAGTATATATAGTGTATAATGTATGCACTGTACAGTATAGTGTATAGTATATATAGTGTATTATATA